TTCAATTTGAATTCGTATCGCACGCAACACCGTTATGTATTGAATAATATTGAATTTGAAGTTGTGTACATATTTTCTCTTAAACGCAGATACTCGTACTTATGCTCAGATGAATATATTACAAGACACGTTTTGCATAATTTATTCACACACCATTAGCATCTTAAGCGTAGATACTTCTTTTGTTTTTTTGTGAACGAAAGACAATATACTAAATTACATAATAAGTATGCATGTGTTTTTAATACCTAATGTATATTGTATACAATTTTATCTAGCGTTATTCATATAACAATAAATATTGTAAGCGGAAGATTTAGTTTTGAAAGGGTACTTCGGCGAACGATCACTTCTTTCACCTCATCACCTGATGATAAGCAACCGACGCTATATATGATGAACACTTGCATCATCGAAGAGTTACAATTGTGTTGCTTGCCTTCAGGGTTAAGGATCGGGTCTCCGAACACAGCATGTGACTTCTTTTGCGCCAGTTTACAGTGAGATCGTGGTACCTAGTCCATTTATCAGCACAACAAAATGGCTTTCCCATTTGGCTTAATGTTATAACTCTGATTGAGTCTGCCTATTCGTGCAGAAGTGGCTCTTACGAACTCAAATTAATTACCATTATCACAGATACCTAATATTAATTATCATAATCATCAGACTGTTAAAGAGTTTCGTCTACAAGAAAGTTTTTTCATTCTTCCATTCGCCTAAATCCCTTCCCATCCCAGTGCTTTTAAGTCCTTTGATGCAGCGGGTGTTAATTGGTGACGCTGATTGGTTACTATCAGGTGATCCTTTGACTTGTTTACCTGCCTATATCATTAAAAGAAAGCCCAGTCAATAGGGGTACCTAAGTCTTATTCACATGCAATCATAGGCTAGACCGGAATTTAATTTATCATCCCTGGCAAAAATGCTTTAACCAAGCGAACGCCGGCTTACACGCACCAATTGTTCTTCTATTGTGTCTCGAATGAAAGGTTAAATCTTACATAAAGTGCTTGAACCACTATGAGATTATTAGTATTGAGACTTTATGTTGTCCAAGAGTCAGACTCTTCAGAATCACGTTAATAGTGAGTACTACATTTTCATTCCACTTGTACGAATATACACAAAGTAAGTAAAAAAATATATAGAAAATTGCCCCGGAAACCGGAATTCCAATTCCGCCCAATAAAGTCATGGCGAAGGCCCTTGTGTGTTGACAAAATTGATTCGCATGTACAATAGAGAAGTGTTATAAGTATATAGAATTTATAGATATGACTACCACTACATATTATAAAACAAAGCCGCTTTATTTGTCCCTATATCCCTAGTTTTAAATATTTATGTACGCGTAAATTTTAAAAACTACGCAACGGATTTTGATGCGGTGATAGATAGAGTATTGAAGAGGAAGGGTTATATCTATAACAACATCCATTAAATAGTGGAGAAATTAAATATCAGCAGTGCAAAACCGGGGCGGGTTGCTAGTCTATCCAAACTAATATTATAAATGCGAAAGTAGCTCTGTCTGTCTCTCTGTCTTTCTTTTCTTGTCGTTTGAAATTTGGTACAGACATAGTTTGGAACTCGAGAAACGACATAGAATGGTTTTTATACCAAAAATCTGCGGTAAATCACTATGCCACGCGAACGGAGTTGCGGGCAAAAGCTAGTAGTTTACTATACTTATTCTATAGACACCATTGTTCCCGTCTTTTCAAAAGCGATCCTAAGTCACGTCTGCCAAAACACGCCCTTGTGTCTAATGCTAGAATACTAAGTGCCAAGTTGCGAACACCGAAGGGAATGGTATCCGTCCGTAAGGGCGTAGACACACCTAGGTCATTTTTATAGTAAGTGTCCAAAAATGGTTAGCAATATTTCGATTTGAAACGTGGAGGTTTTATTAATTTTGAGTGTATTCTTAAGGTTACGACAGACGAATTTCACGGTCAGTTATGAGAAGAAGAGACAGAAGATTTGTATTAGGTATTTGTCTGACTACAGACATTATTATACTGGTTTACTATTAAATGAGCAAGGGGATGGTGTTGAAGATGATAAGTGGCCTGATCAGGATCATCTCTTCGAAAACAGAATGAATGAATCATCATTTGAATTAAGGAGAAACAAGTGCGTTCGCGGACTTTCCAAAATTATTTTAGTCTCACTGACATAATATATCTGAATCAGCTTGCAAAATTGAAACATTTACATATGCATTTGCTTATGGAATGACCTGATGATAGACTTAGATAAAGCGAGTGGGTAATTAAAACTACTCGAATTATAAAAGCGATGAAAAGATGAATACAATTAAAGTTTTACTCAAACGGCTAAAGGCTTGTCAACGCTAAAATTAACTAATCTCCTGTTAAATCTCTTGTCAAGTCATCTGATTGGTTGTTGATAATTCTGTCAACCAATCAGATGACTTGACAAGAGATTAAATTGATTTTAACATTGATCGGCCTTTCGGAAACCGGGTGTTAGATGTGCAGATATGTACATATATATGATCTTATATAACAACATCTTATATACCTAATAATGTCAAGATGTTTACAAACTGAGCGGTGTATGTATGTGTGCGTGTATGTTTGTGTGTTTTGCGGTTTTTTATGCACGTCTGTGGTCTGTCTCAATTTATTTTACGACAAAAACATTTTTGTTTGTTTGAGTATTGATATAAAGATAATTTTATAATGGATTAGGTTTATAGCTATCTAGTTTCTGCTAGTGTGTTCACCTGTAGTACCTATCAGGGTAAGAAGATGCATAATATGCTATGCATAAATCTATCTATATGCCAAATTTCATTCGGAGCTGTTTAGTAGTTTTGACGTGAACATTTAACAAACATCCATCCATACTTACGAACTTTGGCATTACACCGTATAATAGGTATTAATAGAATTCTAACGTTTATTTTCTGATAATGGTAAAAACTGGTCAACATTATGACTGATATTGTGGCACAAATAAGCGTGCATCAGACAAACAAACAAAAAGTATTTATTGGCTTCAATAAAATAATCCCTATGAAAGTTCCAGCATTATTTTTCTCGCAGTGTGTCAACACCTTTACCGTTAGGGTCGACGCTCGCGAACAGGTGGTATGTCAACAATTCGAGGGCTGTCGGTATGACAGCAATAAAAGTATATGTATATATAATATAATAATATAAAGTAGGTACCTATACGCTATGTAGGCCAGGACGTTCAAGGTTACGAGAATACGAAGATTCGTACGTAATGGAAGTGGGCACGTCAAGTCACTTAGCTTCACGTGCCCCTAACTTAGGGTTGTAGCCATTGCGTTTATAGCTATTGGAATATTCTGTACTGTGTGTGTGTCTAGGGACGTTTTATGTTAGTGCCTTTTTCATTTTGTATAGACGTTGTTATTCCTTTTCAAACGTTTTCTTGTTAGAGACTTTTAAACTACTGATCAAGATCAGTGGAATGAATTTTAAACATAGGTAGTCTTAGAAAATAATGCTTCACGATAGAACCGAGACAGTTTCAAAAGATACTAGCTTTTGACTCATCAGCTTACAAGTGACCAATTCTGCTATTTCAAACTTATGATTAGATATTATAGTCCAGGTTTCCTCACGGTGTTTTCCTTCACATTCACCACCATATTGTATGTCTGTGATAGAAAGTAGATATACGAAAAAGTCACCTTGGTACCGGTATGGTTTTGAAAATTTGAACCCATATGCACGAGAAGCGGGCGCCTTAACCTCCGGGTCATCACAATACGAGCTTTTGGTAATTGTATTTCGTTCGAATTATATTTGGATATGATTAAAAAAAATGCGTTCTACAGATTCAATTACTTATATGTCACCAATTTGGTATAGTTGTCAAGATGGCAGTATTGACAAATTCCTTTAATTATTTCTTTCAACACTTACATGAGTATAGGTTGGTAGCCCTACATTGTAGTAAGTAATCCTATAAAGAACAAATGTATCTGGATAGTCGCCAACACCTCCACCACTCGCATCGTAAATCACATTAGGGTTAAGCTTTAAAACGAATCACTACTTCTCTAGTAAACCCACACATTGTATAAAAACGATTATTTCCAATTCGAATCGGTTACGGTTGATTTTGTGTAGCAATACTGCTTTGTTTGATTTTTTTATTGGCAACACTATGAGTCTTGATTTGAACTGTGAAACGTATATTCTGACCTTTTATTTTTTTGTGGCGGGAAATTCATCTAAGGACTTCTCTTGTGGGGCGAAACAGTCTCAGACGCCGGGTCTCTTAATTTATAATTGTGCCCAAACTAATAAAGACTTATGTATGTTTTTCTTCGTGTCTCATAAATACTAATGATGGTAGATGATAGGCTAATTTACTTATTTTGGTTAAATTGTAATTAAATGGCTTTCGAATAGGAACTTTGTTTTTTAATTGGGACAACACCAGTAACATGACAGTACGGCAGTTTTGACATTAAATTTTTGACGTATTCGTAGATGTAGAATAAGGAATCATTAATTCAAGTGCAGTAAAATTTGAACGACCATACCTACGCGTTTGATTTATATCTTGACATTTTAATAATGTATTTCAAACACATCAAATAAACAATAATCTACATATTAATAAAAAGCGAATCGTAAAAGTGTTGGTATGTAGGCGTATAACTCAAAAACGCCTGGACCAATTTTGTTGTTTTTTTAGGAGATAGAGACTATTTATGAAAGACAGTTTTAGAAAGGAAGCATAAAATTTGACACACAAAACCTTTTTTTCTAGCTTATAAAGTTCCACTTTTTAGCAAAGGCCTCCCCATCTTGCTTCCACACCTCCCGTCTTTCAACAGTGTCCACCAGACCAGTCTCGACGATAGACGTCTAGATCTTCATAGAATCTTGTACAACTAAATACGTTTTAATTATTTGTCACCTTTACCATGACCTAGAACACATTTTCTAACGCCATGATAAGCAGTCCTTACAGGTTATCCTTACCTTCTGAGAAGTTCAGCACCATTGGTAACCTTGTCTGCGTTAACAGGAGCCCAGGACTTCTGCACCAGGTTGACTTCACGTCTCGTGAGTCCAGAGATTGCATTCACCTCATCTGGATCACCACCCCACCAAAAATAGCTTAGCCAACCGCCCATTTTGTCCTGTGAACAAATTAAAATGATTTTTTGTCAAATCTTCTAGTTGTAAAGAGGATATATCTAATGAATATTTTTTTATCTTTTATTACTTAGTTACAGTTTGACTTAACAAAGGCGTGTTAAAAATAAATTTGTATAAAATTGGTAGGGAGTTTTGTCGATAGGTGGCGCTTGTGCAGCTTTAAGGCGTTTTTGCCTCGGGCGAACACAGACGTGGAATTGTAATGCCGTCATGTCGCCAGCGGCTGTCTACGCTCTTTTAAGATGGTATGGAATATTTTGCTGTGGATTTGGCGCTTAGTAATGGATTCTGCTTATGGATATATCTAAGTTTTTTTACACCCAGATGTAAATTAAATGTGTGTACACTATTTTGTAGGTTAGACGTTGTTTTGGTAAGGGTTTGCAAAGTTTGCTTAAAGATAAAGAAGAACTTTAATATTTTTATAGTTAAAGACTTCACTACTGCAGTGGTTGGCACAGTGGCTGGGCAACTGGCTGCTTTGTAACGTGTCGCGGGATTGATCCCGCACGGAATAACATTTATGCGATCTACATGTTGTTGTTTCGGATCTGGATGGCTTGTGTATGTGATATTGTATGTTTGTAAACGCACCCACGACGCAGAAGAAAATGCTAGCGTGGGGCAAACCATGTACCGAACAAAGCGTAGAACTATTTAATACGCTTCAAAAGAGGTTTTTTTTTTCAAATATAAATAAGTACTCATTGAATAAAAAGCATAGTGTTTAACTTCTACGATAATATTGTGTAATGACTTCACCCAGTAATTTAAATGTTCAAATTGGATGCCTCGCAAAAATGCTTCACTGAATTAAATTACCGGAACCATTACATACATAGTTGTGAGTTATTTGTAAAATTGCTATGATAATATTGTTTGATATTAAATACCGCCTTTTGGATCTTGAATATAATGGCCTTTAATGTCTTATATTCTGATCAGTTAAGTCGAAACTAGAATGACGTTGACGGGTACAGATGGATGGAATGGGCATTAGATGTTCCTGCGGGTCTAAAAAATGGCGCTAAATTTTCTTTTTGTGCGATGTATGCAGACACATGGCGACTTCGATTCACAGCCTTGCATTATTCTTCTTGGTAGGTATGTCAGTTGTAAATCCAGTTTAGTCATAGTGATTTTAAAGACGAGACTCAAGTCAAAATAGAAACAATGATCTAAGCAACGAAACTAGACATTATGTAAAACAAATGAATGTGTTCTTGGACAATCAATTTGGTATTATGTTACATTACAACGAATATACCGATTAATTTACATTTCCACACTGTACAATTACTGTATCAGTGTTTGAATAAATTAGACCTTGAGATAATAAGCTGAATTGAACAGTTCACTGGATGAAATACGGGTTCATTGCTGTTTGCTGTCATTGGGTCCATCGATGAACTATTGGCCTATTGGGAGTGATGTGTTATTAGGCGAATGCTCTTGGTGGTGGAGACCTCTCGCTCTTGCCTTGGCCCAGCCACGGTGCAGACTTTGCGAAGCATTCATGCTCACTATGAAGGAGGCGGCCTCAATATATCGCGTAACGATTTGCAGCCATCCTACGCGCGGATCTGACAAGCTCGACCAGAACCAGAACCCAACCTACGGCGCGTCGCGTTTTGTTTGAGAATAATTAATTAAAATTGCAAGTGATAATAATTCTGCATTCAAAATTAGACGTCCGTCTCCAAAACAAATTACAAGATGACTATACGTGACGTGTAATTACAAAGGTTTGCTACATTAAGAGATCTTTCATAACAATACAGACAATACTTGAAAAGATCATTAAAATATTGAAAGAGTCTTTGAATAACATCATTTGAAGAATAAATTGTAGTTGTAGTAATGTTCTAGCACTAAAATAAGCATAAACATAAAATCACATACATATTTTTTACTTCCAAGCGATGGCGGAGGGACCTTTTGGGCCACAATCAATAGGCCCAATAGGGCCGATGTCCATATGGGATTGCAGGTAAAACTGCTATAATGTTCAGGGGAAGGTGTATGCGTTTAATCATTCGTCACTAACACAGACAAGCACTGTCTTGAGTGCATCACGATAAGGTTAACAGAGCCACGGGCGAGAGAAGACGTGTGGGTAGTCTGTCCGTTTAGAGCCTGGATATTCAACGATCGTGCGGATGTTAAAGAAAGAATGGAGTGTGAGTGAGTGGTTTTTAACCAGGAAACATCTGACACTCTCTGGGAAGAGAGGCTCTCTCCACCTATGGTGGAAGAAACCAAAAACCTTTCGGACTTTAAGAAAAAATTGAAGATCAACGTTACTGCTAAACACAACGCCGAATTTCGTGTAATTATAGAGGATTATCAAAAACAGAGACAAACAATACCAAAATTAAGCATAAGTATAGATAGCTTTCAAGATAAAGCGCTTTTTTGTTGCAATAAATAAATGATGCGCAGTCAAAACTTGTATCTCATTATAGACAGATGAAGGAAAAACTTAGCTAATTGTGGTTTCCAAAATAAATATAGAGGATGACTCAGTATTTAAAATATTGTGAATGGTTGTTATTCTGTACCTGAGTCGGTATGAAGTTCCTCCGTTCTGGACTTGAGAACTTGTTATTTAGTTAAGTGTAACGATTGTGGTACTGTTAACTTATTGTAAGGCCTTTGTTCAGTAGAGTATATATCATTTAGATAATATATTTATGTGTGTATGTGTCTATCAAAGGTAAAACGTTTGATTGAACGATGAGAAAAAACTTGCCTAGTGTAATTCCATTGTACCAACACAGCAACTGCACTGATCACTACCAACGAAGACAAAATATGACTTAAATACATTTTATTTTAAAAACTTGCGAAAGACAAATCCCAACGTAAAATAAACGCGATTTAGGACCAAGAACTTCATAAAATAAAAAAAAAAATATAAAAATCGCTAGACGTAACTTAAATGCCAACTAAATATCGAACGAACAGGTTGGAACCTAAATGGCCTAGGTATTATTAGTCCATGATTTCTTTTAATAAAAGAATTAAAATGAAGAAATAAGGTTATCTGCTGTTCAGCCGGGTTTGTGGTGCAAATGCAGGGCCCGGGCCTGAAGCAGAAGAAGGAACGAGGTTTTTAGTCAGTAATAGTCTGCGAGCGAAGTAATTTGATGAATTTCGCGATTCAAAAAGTCTTGTATGGGTTTTCTCTACTTGAGGAGTTTTATATGCTATTCTAGTAGAGAAGATATGAGATCTCGGTCAAAAAGGTTGAACAAGGTTGAACCCACCTAGCCAATTTCAGAGTCGATAATCGTTATCGTTTTATAAAAGAAACAAAATTTATGATGTTTTCTGAAAGACGTTGTTTCGTTTCTAAAGCGATAACGATTATCGATAAACACTGACTGTTAAATCTTATCCTAGTTATGGAACTTGCATTGTTAATTATTAATTCACTGTTAAATGCATAGTATTTAATAAAAAAACACAATGAAATACCTTTTCCGTGTCATCTGGTTTCACTGACATTGCAAATGCAGTCACCAATACCAAAATAAAGAGTTTACCACTTAAATACATTTTACAATAAAAACTTGCAATTAATATAGGTACTTCAACGACTGATCCCAACCGAATTAAGAATTAGACTAAAGCTGATTTAGGAACTTGTTTATATAAAAATGTTTTTTTTTTAAATATTAATATTGATCGCACGAGGAAACATAAATGCCACCTTAATATCAAGAAACAGGTTGTAATATTAAATGACCTACCATTGACTCAGAACTGCAAAAATACAAAACTCTCTATAAATATCTGCTAAGAGCTATCACTGGTAATCACAGTCACAGTTAAGTAAATATCGTCACACTTCAAACAGACTTCTTTCTCGACTATTTTTTTTTATTTACATCTACTTTGGCGTATACTACATACTTTCACTCTTCGACTTTGACCTTTATATTAATGCTTTGACCTTGTTTTTAAGTTTGTTTCATCAATTGTCCGCGAATTGCTATATTTTGCTTATCTGTGCAACGCTAACGCATCGACATAAGATGACTGATCGCTGAATCGCTATTTAATAGAAAAAAATATTTTTATAACTGTTAAAAAAATTAAAGTGAGAAATAATTTCATATACCCATTTTTTTAATAGGGCAAGATACCAAGATACGAGCAGGTGAATTACCTGGTGGCAACATCAGAAGAGTTACGCGTGCGCTGACGGCTTTTTAGGGATAAGGCCTTCGGACATTTAGGATTTGGGTAGCGAAGGGACTTGGGGAGGTGAAGGGTTGGGCCTCCGATAACCTCATTTACATGGCCAAACATAACGCTGTGGTCATTTCACGTCGGTTTTCTGTGAGGCCGTGGTATCACTCCGGTAAAGCCGACCCATTCGTGCCGAAGCATGGCTTTTAAAGTTCATTGAACTCAGCAAAAAAGTAGTTGTAATGCATTTTCTTTTTATTTAGGACTCAAATAAAAGCCATTGTTTTTATTCGAGATAAATTGAGAATCAAGGATATCCAGTTAGTATCATTGGAGTTGTTTGAAAATGTTAGCGTTAGGCGTAATAACAATTATCAGACGAAATGCCTTGTATTTAAGTGCTGTATTTGCTTTGAAGATAAGCTGTTCACTTGTTCTTGATAAACAGATTCAAAGCTAGACCTAAAATGACTAACATGGTCTAACCTTACTCAGTCAGAATTAAATTCTATAAGCATTAGCATAAGAAAATATGCAGTTCCCACCCAGGGCGAGAGAAGTCATTTGATATACCCCCCTCAAAAAGTTTGATGGATTGAACTATATAATAAATCGACAGACATTGGTTGACACCCATAGGTATATACCCATTTACTAGGTACATATGTGATATATTTTGTATTATGAATGGCATATTATGGTGACATTTGTTGAAGGACAACTCAATAGTGGAAAAGTAGTTTAAGATTGACTGTTTCAGCTAAGAATGCAGTGTGTTGCGACATTCATAGAAAACAAAAATACGCTAAGTGATATACCTAGTAAATATACCTATTATTAAGTATACGTAGTCATAATAGGGGTGACAACTGAAATGGTGAGTACTACCCAACACTGGTAAGTGTTTGGTAGTACTCACCATTACCAACTTATACTGAGATGGCAACCCTTTTGACATTTGTCACTTAGTTTTGTTTTTTATCGCTTTTTTCTTTTTATACTATATAATTTTGAATTGAATACATTTTATTAAAACTTAATTTTATAAAATTTTTGTGTGACATCTTGCTTATCGTTGAACCTATTTTATAGGTACTTATTGGTGGTGCATCGTGTGGCGTGTTTGTTGCCAAATTATTTTTCTTCTTTTTGTAATCAAAATCATTAAAACATTTTATTATAATTTGTATTATTAAATATTGGAAAAAGTCAGAATAGTGATAATTTAAAATAATAATCGAGTTGAAATTCAAGTTTAGATAGTTTATATATAATATGAGCTTTTTATACACATAAAATATTTGACCTTTTGCACCAACTATGAACTTGGCTATGTTATGTACATAGGTATGTATGTTAAATCTAGGTTATTGACCCCATGGCCTCAAGGTGCCGCCCATTGCATAGAACCTTCAGTGACCTTGTTATTTAATCGGGTGATAGCTGTCTAGTCACCTTTGGGGTCTGTTCAGACGAGAGACTTTTGTGCAACTTGATTGATTCAAATGCATCAAGGGGTAGTTTTTAGTCGATATTTTCAACCGACCTCAAATCTAAATATTTTTAGAATGACGTTGATTTTTTTCATGGAATAGCAGGCAAAACAAGCAGAATGATCACCTGATGGTAAGTGATCGGTGCCGCGCATAGACACCTGCAACACCAGAGGAGTCACAGGCACGTTGCCAACTTTAAAAAAAAATATTTATCTTAGGACTGATGTTTTTTGTTCAGCACTGGACGTCTTCCGGCTGATGATGATGATGATTGTCATCGTCATCACATTAGCTAAGTTAGTATTCAGATTTTAGGTCCTTAACAGAGTCTAGGCTAAGCGTGCCGTCGTAGTAATTATAGTAAAGTAAACCAATAGATAAATCTAGAGTTTTTGGTTTTAAAAGAGGGTTAATAATTTCTTTTGTTCATGAGCTGTTTATTTTAAGAAATCTGTATTATCAAAAAACTGCTCTATGATGCATATAAATTAAGCTCTAAGTGGATTGTTTACATTATTTTTAGTCTTAGCTTAGTCTCCTACTTCCCCAAATCTCATTATCCCCAGAAGGCCATCAATGCTCTTGCAATTCCTCTGGTATTACGAGTGTCAATGGGTGGCCCGATTACTTATACTATCATATAAAAATGAATCGCGAAATGTGTTGGTAAGCGCATAACTCAATAACGCCTTGACCAATTTTGCTAATTCTTTTTTTGTTCAGTAGGTTCATAGCAAAGAAAACCTTAGAAAAGTAAAGGAGAACATCGGGAATTGACCACCCTTACGGTGCCGGGGCCGTTCGCTTGCAAAACAAATGACGGTAGTGGTATGCCCACGCAAAGCAAGGGCGATCCGCTAGTACAATCATATAGGTATAACTCCCTTGTTCGTTTGCCACTGAATAGGAAAATAACCAAATATAGAATACCATTTTGATAATGCCCCAGTATACAATTTTTGTGTACTATTTATTTTTTATTTTTTTAAGAAAAAAAGCGTTGCCCCTCTTTAGGATTTTCTCCTGTATTGTGGGTGCGTTTACAAACATACAATGTCACATACACATGACACCCAGACCCGAAACAACAATTTGTGGATCTCACAAAGTGTTGTTTCGTGCGGGAATCGAACTCGCGACACGTTGCACGGCAGCCAGTTGCCCAGCCACCGCACCAACCTTGCACTTATTACATATTAACAGGCTATTCCATATTTGGCGACTTTCCTCTATCACATCGTATCATATAAAGAAATAGCTTCCCTCGTCTACACAGACCTTAAAAGGCCCAATGAAACATTTCCTTCGACCACGAATAGATAAAACGATTTTTATTTTCCTACAATTGATTTTTACGAGTCACTTTGGGGCCATGTTACTAATGTAACGGCTTCTGTCAAAGGACACAGACCTTAAGCATTATGACGGAATAATAGTTTTAAGAATTGATTCACTATATAGTTTAATCATAGATTAATAAGTTATTAATAATAACGTTGCCCCACCTTAGTATTTTTTCCCGTGTCGTGGGTGCGGTTACAAACATACAATTTCACATGCACATCACACCCAGACCCGGAACAACAATCTGTGGATCACACAAAGAGTTGTTCCGTGCGGGAATCGAACCCACGACACGTTGCGCAGCAGCCAGTTGCCCAGCCACCGCGCCAACCGTGCAGTCAAAGTAATTAGTGAGCTGATGTTAAGCAGGGTTGCAGGTCAAGCCCAATAGTGTAACAAGGCCTCGGCCTGTTGTAGGAGACGAAACGGGATGGTTTTTTAGTCAGTAAGAGTCTAACACTACCTCCCGTTACAGCCAGGTTGATAGATATATGCAATGACTTTTGACATTTGGATAAAAAAAGTATTGAATTTGACTAGTTGGAAACTACCATATTGTTATTGTAAGTAGAAGGACAGGAGTCAAGGAGAAATCCGGAAAAAGGAGATCCGTGCGAAGCAGGTTTGTGCCGCTAGTGTTTTAAAACTATGACTTTTCCCATCCTCTATTCAGAAAAGCATCTTGCATACAATACATATATTTATTCAGAACAATTTCACAATACTGTTATCAGTACCTAACTGTGCTAACGATGACTACTTAAACACCTCGAGTTTGTCTAACACTAACTTCGTATAATACCCCGGCTCAACCTGGCTCGGGTTGAATAAACTGTTCTGAACAAACTTTGCTCGAAGTTACATCGCCCCACTTTACTTAACTATTAAAGATTTGTTGTACGTAAGTACTTGTGCTTATTTTGTATATTGCATAATTAATACTATAATTATGTAGTTTGTTTTGTCTTAATGTTAGGCAGAGACAATGATATGACGACCTTATTTATACGAACGGGCCCTAAGATAGAACTTTTATATGTCAATAAGTATAATTAAGTATTTATTTTTATAAAAAAGAAAACCTGGATGAAGCCGACATTTCCAACCCTGAGAAGAAATGCCGAACTCCGATATCAGTCTCTTTTAAAGACCCGTCTAATTTGATATACGTCATCACAAAGTACAGTGCAAGTTATTTCAGTAGTGGTCTTTTGAGGAAAGAACTACACATCGGCAGATATGTATATTGTATTATATTGTCAACGAAACGCAATATGGCGTCTTATAACGACGGACCTAGTTTTTTAGATATAATTTCGACGTGTATAAGTGCTGATTTATGGCCTATGTACAAAAATAAATGCATTGTTTCATTGTTTAAAACGGAGTTCTCGTCCTAAGCCCCGCAAAGTTTGTTGTGAGGAAAAAGTTCTGATGTCACATTTATGAAGAAAAAAGAAACGAATTATAAACTTATTATGCACTAGCCTTGCCCGTGTTGTGTGTTGATAATAAGCAGCCTGTGTGTTAATACAGGGTATAATAATCTATCTACATAGAAAATTTC